GACACCGGGGTTCAGTCTCCCTCTGCTCCCCTGCTTCGTGTGATGCATTCGCGTCCTTTCCGTGCTCCTCAGAGCTTGCGTGTGCGTGCCTCCGTGCACGTGTGGGGGTGTGTTTTTTTTTTTGGGTATAATAACGCCTGATGAATGGGGATCTTGCTATGCTGACAGAGGGTCCCATTAACATGTACCGCTTGGCTCCCCTCCGCAATCCGTCACACACCACATACACGCACACAGAGTGGAGGTAATCAATGGGATGATTTAATAGCATCTGTTCTGTGTTCGCTGGGAGCGGATAGCGTTTGTCGGCTTAGCTATGCAGGTTTTGGGTTCCTGATGTGGAGAATTTTTATACCAAAATGTTATTTATTTTCAGTCAAGCAGCGATATACTGACAGGAGAGGATAGTGTTACCTAACAGAGGGTCACAATGTGAAAAACACTGGTGATGATATAATAAAATCATAGCTCTTATTTGGCAAAGGTGTTAAAAAATAGCTGGAGAGTTAAGCTGACTAGATTGATACCGCTCTCATGTTTGTACGATAAAACCAGCAGACCATTAGCTTAGCATCAAGAATGAAAGCAAAAGTTCTAATGAAACTTGGGTGTTTTTTCTTTATTATTTCTCACAATTAACCTGAGGAATCCCAAAGCCCATTGGCAGGTTTGAAAACATGTGAAATTCACTAAAATTACATATTTTGTCCCAACCAGAGACTGTGTAGCATGTGGTTCTGCTGGTAAAATGAACCAAATCTAAACATAAAACCATCAATTATTTTATCAAAATCACTTTATTCAACTTGTCATTTTTTAGAAATGACAAATGAAACAATTGAGACAAAAATGTAGTCATTGTTGGGCTGAACTGCAGGCAGTGTTTACACAAGGCAAAGAAGAGATAAGTGTGGGAAAAAAATTGAGAGACTGAGAGGAAAATAAAACATAGTTGATCAATAAAGTAAATGCAACACGGTTCAAAAACAGTATACAGAGGAGCAGGTTGTCTGCAAATTGTTGGAAAACACATTAACACGTTAAAGCATCTCTCTACAGTTAATGTGAATAGCAACTTGAAAAACGTTTAGTTTGCAGAGGTTGTAAAAATGTAAGTTGTATCATATAAATACCACACGTTACCCTCAATATTGGTAGCATGTGTGCCCACTTGGAAAAATATTTGAAATTCCACTTCCGTTTTTATCTTTTTTTAAAAACAAGATTTGTGGAATTGTAACAATGTGACTGTGCTCAACAGCTCCCTCTACTTGTAGCCATGATTATGGTTGTGCTGTTTTCCACAGAGCTGCTCGACTTTATTTTGCAGTGAAAAATGAGTTCATAGAGAATAAAAGTTTGACAGGAGGAAACAAAATCATTCAAATACTGCCCGAGGTTCAGATGCAACATGCTTATTAGCGAGCTTAACATTCGATAGTAGTCCGATCTTTGAACTAGGTTTATTACCCAATACGTCTGGCTTGGAGACACACAGACATCAAAGGGGCATTGATTTTCTCTTGGCAAGAAAGCAAATAAACACATTTTCAAAAATTCTAACAATCTCTTAGAAAACCAGCCTCATCATACAGTATGTTTCACATTGCATGTATACTGTACATACCATCACTAAAGCTTCACCTCTTCGTTTTCACCTACCATCTCGTGGTCTACTTCTAAACCTGGCAGGCGGCGTAACCAACCTGAGCATCTGCCTCTTACAAATAAGTGGTTGGTCATCCTCCGGTTTAGGCGGACATGGATATAAAACATTTTTTAAAGGCAGCACTTGATCCACTCAAGACTGTTTGGCCTCAAAAGAGGATGAAGAAAATCTCTAAAATCAAGTGTCTATTCCTCTTCAGAGAGCACTAAAAAGAACCTTAGGGATGATACCGTTATCCAGAGAGTCCCAAACCAGTAAGAGCGTGTCATATACACAGTGTGTCGTCACACTGCACTGATCTGTTATACTTGTTAGCAGCTAATTATCTGTACTGCATGGTGCCTGCAGCCAACTTCCATAACTTTATGGCTTTGGCTTGTATCAGGGTGGCTAACGTTGTTTGTATTGATCCGCATTATTGACTGAACCACTAGAGCTTCAGTCACTAGCGCTCGGGCTAAAAAAGGAAACGCGATGGGGCGCGATGAGCCTGGTTAACATAATAGGTGGACAGAAGATGAATCGGTTGAGTCTCTAATGTGGATTTGTAACACGTGGTGGTGCAGGAGATCTTCTGATAAATATCACTGGTTGTGGTCATGTCGGTGTAGTAGTTAGAATACATGAGAGGATGCTTCAAAGGTTTCTAGTGTGTATGTGGTTTCTAGAATATAGAATACTGTATCGACATTAGTGATAACAAACAAAATACTACTAGAAGTGACCATAGTATACAACAAAACAATAGCTTACATAGTCCTACAGATTACAGGTTGACAGTGTGTCAATCCAACAACAGTTTTATGGCTGTACTTGACAAATATCCATCCATCCATTATCTATACACCGCTTAATCCTCACTAGGGTCATGGGGGGCTGGACTCTATCCCAGTTGACGTGAAGGTGAAGGCACTACACTTAGAGACAGACAACCAAGCTCACTCACATTCACACCTACGGACAATTTAGAATCACCAATTAACCTCAACATGTTTCTGGATTGTGGGAGGAAGCCGGAGAACCCGGAGAGAACCCACACTGCACGGGGAGAACATGCAAACTCCACGCAGAAAGATCCCAGGTGTCCTCACCGGGACGGAACCAGCGAGCTTCTTGCTGCGAGGCAACAGTGCTAACCACTGAGCCACCTTGCAGCTATGATTAAACATAGAATTAAAAGATGAGGTAGATTGCCAGACTGTTAACCAAGACATTTTTATTTCTGTGTAGCAAGTACTAACCTTTAAGCCTCCATAATTATATCAAAGTCTCATACTCAGAATGGTTAATTTTTATTATCTTAGTATTCTTAGTATACATTGGTTGTACAGACAAGTGACAAATCAAAGGAAAAAAGCATCATCATAAGGGCCACCATGTGCCACCAGAGTTAGTCTCTAGAACTCTACTGGAGGGATGAACACCGTTCTTACAAAACATATTCTTTAATTGAATGTTTGGTGGTTTAGTTCAAAATCTTTCATAGGTGTACAAGCGAGTTGTATCGTAAACGATCCACATCATTTTTATACCCATCAAGCCGTTCAGTGAAACCTCGGTCACCCTATGGATGGGGGACTCTGTCATTGCAGAAGAGACCACTTCTCAGGATGAAACGTTTCATCATCGGATAAAGGCGATCCATCAGAACAGCTCCGTATTGATTTTGCAGTGATACTTCCCTCTAAGGGGACAAGTGGACCCAACCATCAGCAAAATGGCCTCCACGGTATAACAGAGACAGATCGCCTCACTGTAGGCGCCCAGGGTTCAGGTGTTTCCTTTTATTCATCAGCCATCTGTATGTTAATGCTAAGTTTCTGGTAGATGTTGACCTGCTGTGGGTCGAAGCCACATGTTGCCACCCAGACCAACAAGTCAACTCATTAAATATTGAACGTATCTCTGCAGTGAAAGTGCAAAACATAAATCACATCTACAAACTAATCCATGCACTTCCTCTCCTGTGTAGCCAGAAAGACACATTTCATCCCAAAGATTTCCGTCCGACTCTCTGGAGTGACGCAAATTAAACGAGCCAATCAACCAATTAAAAGAGCTGATTGGTTGCTAACACGCTCGTAAACGTGCTGTCAAAAGGGGCAAATATTACATCTCTCCTTGAACTGTTAGGACAACAAAGGGGGAAATGAAAGGAAATGAGTCTGCTTGAGACTTGTAACCATTCAGTTATCTGACAAGCAAAAACAGACGGATGCATATCGATAACATCTTCTGTTGTATATGTCTGTATTGAAACAGACAAATGAGAATCCCAGCAGACAGGTGGGATATTAGCTGCCGAGATAAAGCAGGAGTCTGTCTGTAAACACACAATATGTGCCCAGACAAAAAAATAATAATAATTGTGGATGAAATTTTATCGACTCATAAACATCGCGACAACTCCGACGCTCCGCTTTGCTACACAGGCAGAAAGCAACAGAACTCCTGGTATTATGTTCTGCTGGAGGCAATTACTATGTACTTTGTTCAACTTTCTATAACTTATTCATAATTTTTTTTTTGAAAAGCAGAATTGATTGCGGCTGCGTGTCTCACTGTCTGATCTCTGCTATATGCTGCGGTTTTGCTTTAGTGCTGTTAAAGAGGCAAGAAAAGGATGATAACAGAGCTGTGAAAGAGCCATCTGTGACCTATGCCCACTATTGAGTACCGTATCAGTGCATATAGATTCTCAGTTCTTTTTCATTCCAGAAAAAAAAAAAAAAAAAAGTCTCTGTCCCAGTTCAATTTACACTCATGTTTTCTTTTCTTTAGCAGCTCACTGTGCCCTTTTAGGAATATTTTTATCTCAAATCCCTTTGTGCTCCCTCTACTGAAATCTTTTCTATGACAAGATAACGCTGTTGCTGACTAAAAAAAAAAAAAAAAAAGCCCCTTGGTTCTCCAAAAGAAACATCCAGAAACAGCCCCGTTTTCACTTTGACAGCATTGTACTTTGGAGTGTATCTTATTGTTTTTTTTGGAAGCGTCTCTGTACCCGAGGTATTGAAGAATTTCCCCCAAACTGCAGCACTCTTGTGGTTTATCATCCTTTAGCTGAAGGTGAGAAACACCACAGATGGAGATACAAGGTTTTCGCAAAGCAATATACGGTGATTTAAAACTCTAGAAACCAGCATTTTCCCTGTTTTATTACAGAACTATAAAGCGGGTTTTGATGGGAAATAGACTCAGTTTACAGCATGTGAGACTGAATGGAATTCTGCTGCTGCTCCAGCAAACAAGAACAAAAACTTACTGTAAAATGTCGTTTTTTCAATCATATTTCTAACCCTGTTTTCTTTCTGTTGTTTGTTTCTTGCAGCTCAGCAGATGAGAAGTTTCGCTGGAACAACCAAGGTACTGTTTCGTCTTAAATGCACTCTTAAATGTTTTCACCTGGTCCTGTGTCGTTGGGATTTTATCACTAATTGTTGTAATTACACTGGTAGTCATTGTAAAACCCCACCACCAACTGTAGTGAACTCGAAGCAGTTTCTGGGCTTTTTTATGGGCTTTTTTATTTTATTTGTATTTTACACATATACACAAACATTTTGACTTACTTTGGGCTCATTTTTAACTGAAATATCGAGTCCTGTGCCTCTATAGAAACAACACAACCATGACGAGAAGTAGGGAGAACTCAGGAATGTCTAATGTAAAAGATAGATAGATAGATAGATAGATAGATAGATAGATAGATAGATAGATAGAAAATATTAGTTCATTTTAATTCCTGGTACCACTAAAGGTACATTTGTTTGGACAAATATAATGATAACAACAAAAATGGCTCATAAGAGTTTACTTCAAGAGCTGATATCTAGACATGTTCCATGGTTTTCATAATAGTAACCAAAATCACTTAAGTTCTTACATCAATAGCTACAGCATTGTACTGACAAAAACACTGCTTTTAGGCATTCCATGAACAAGAAACTGAAGAAAACAAGGGTGGTTTAAGAATTTTTTCCATGACTGTATATATATATATGTATGTATGTGTATGTATGCATATGTATGCATTATTATTTATTTTACAAAAATGGGCAAAAAACTCAGAATTAACATGTACAACATTTTCCAGGTGCCCACATGTGATACCAATAGTAAATGGTGACTCTACAGATTTTACTACTGACTTTATAAATTTGTTTCACTATATGTTTCCTATAAGCAAAGCCTGCAATTCAACCCAGTTCAAACGAAAAGTCCCACATGTCTGACGGGTTTATAGGTGTGTGGAGAAGAACAGAATATTTTGCCTTTTATAGAATCAAACAGTTTATTTTGGTCAACATATTCAGTGTAGGATAAAGGGATTTTAATGAGTTATCACAGTTTTAAACCTGGATTTGTTTAGGTTTACCTACAAAACTACACATCACACACGATTAGTTCATTGAACTGTCTCAAAGTTAAAATCTGACTATTCTTTCTTGTTTTCATGTTTTCTGGCTCTGATAAATGCTGTCATTTTGGTGTTTTTTCTGTTGGTGGTTTTGGAGCTCAGAGGGTTAAGTTTTGTTTGTTTGGTTAAGTTTAGGTACCAAAATGGTTTGGACAAGGTTTAGGAAAATATCACGGTTTGGGTTCAAACATGACCCTTTCACAACAAGGATAAATCTTCTCCTCCACTTTTTGAGTTATGAAGGTGATAAGTTCTGCCCTCATCTAACGTCTGATTGGTTGGCTAAAAAGGAGTGACAGTAAAGCTAGGAAATAACATATGGATCACATTGGACCAAACAAATGTATGTTTGTCTCAAAGTGCACTAACATAACATCATCTTTGGCAGCAGTTAAAAGGCTTTAATGAGGGCGCCCGTATAGCTCACCTGGTTGAGCGGGCGACCCATGAACAGGGGCTACAGTCCCCGACGCAGCGGTTGTGAGTTCGAATCCCGCTCACGACCCTTTGCTGCAGGTCTCTCCCTCACTCTTCTCCCCCCTTTCCTGTCTCTCTCCACTGCGCTAAATAAAGGCAAAAAGCCCAAAAAATATATTTAAAAAAAAAAAAAAAGGCTTTAATGATTTGCTCTCCACACTTAAGCCCAAGTAAAGAAAAAGGTTTATTCAAACAAAAAGCTCCTGTCTCTCAAACTCCCTCCCGACAGCTCACCCCTTCTGACAGCCGAGTAAAGGTCAAACAGCATTTGCAAATAATTCTCAGCATTTAGTTTAACCTGTTTGGGGTGCCAGATGGGAAGTGTTTTCCATAAAGCACAACAAGAATCAATGAGCCTTTAGACGATTTGAAAGTCAAATGAAGACACCTCTCTGGGCTTGACAACTTCTTTGACAGCATTGTAGCTGAAAAAACACCGCCCATGCATGACACTTAGGTCTCCCTCTCTCTGCCTCCTTGTCAGTCACGTTGAAGTGTATAGGGCGTTGAGAGTAGATTGATTATCTCAGAGCAAGGTTGGCGACCTCTGCCAACAAAGACGAGGCCGACACAAGGAAGCTCAGGAGTTGTGAACGTTTCATACTGAGGACTTCCAGTGGCTGCTGCTGCCGTCGGTCCTCCTGACTGTATTTATTTTACAGGAAAACCCTTCCTCACTCCAATCGGACCTTTTGATCTCATCATCACTCACGAATCATTAAAAACCCATCAGGTCGGAAACACACGGGTTTAAAAATGACTTTTTGGCTTTTGAGCACGAGGGTGAGAGTAAATCCAGCGTAATGCTGCAGACAGCCCTGGAAATGTTTCACCAACAGCATCAACATCATCAGTCTGCAATTGCGTCAGTTGAAGTCAATAAAATCAGCCTCCTAAATCCACTCACTAAGGCCTCTACTATTACCCTTTCTCTCTCTGTCTCGATAAGAGATTAATGTTGCTCCTAAGACTCATTTGTAAGCTTTTATCCCCCTTGGCAGCCCTCTCTAACTTGAAGACTCTGGGCATGTTATCAGCCTCTCCCCGACAGACAAACGACTGGTATCTAAGTACAAGGTGGACCTCGATCCCACAAGATGTGTTGTTGGATTATCGCTGAGGTTTTTACCCCTGACCTGGGGTTTAACCTCGCACACTGCTCTGTGATGAGACATGAGTCGAGACACTTCTTTAGTAACTAATGAGCTGCTAAACGAGGAGGAATTTTGAACTTCAAACGTTATGTTGTTGGTATATTTTGATGAGCAAATTGTGGGGAAAAAAACTCAAAAGCAAGAAAAAAAAGAGTAACGGCAACAGATGAACCCCAAACAAAAAAAATGTCATGTCCTTCAGCGTCACCACATTATTACAAGATTATATGAGCAGTCAGTAAAAATGGGTCACGCATCTTCACACTCAGCTTTCATTTTGATGCTACACACCTGTAAAGTTTTGGGACTTCATCTTGACAAGATC